TTTCGTAAGGTTGAAACCTTAAGAAATCTAATTAAGGAGCACCTCCAAATTTTATTGTAATATGTAATGTTGATGTAACAAAGTATTAGGATTATCTTAAAATCTATTTTCATATCTAATTATAAAATTTTAAACTTTAAAAATGGTTAAAATCAAGTAGATCTCTAAACATATGAAAATTACGAAAATGAATGATCTAGATAATGTGTTGCAAAATGCACTATTTTTTGTACTCAAAAAATATATATATATTTTTTTTGCTTTTTTTCATATTCATACATCTAGATGTCGAGATATCCATTAGATTTTGAACATTAAAACAACATTTTCCCTACCAAGGCGGGAAACCGAGTTCCCTTCCACATTTTCAAGTTTAAACAACATGAAATCAAATGCACAAGGGAAGTCCACATTGAAGATCAGGAAAAGCAAAGCAAGAAAAGCAACAATGAAGCGTATTGCATCACTAGGCCCTACATCCTTAACAATACCAAACACATAACTTTAGCTGGTCTCCCTCTAGACCAACTGTCGTTTCCTATCTCCTGATTTCTAGCTTTTGGTCTATTAGAAACAAACAGAATGCAATACAGGGGTTGTTTTTGACCGATTTTTACACAAAAACAAGTTTCACGTTCTCATGGTGGGTGCCAAACTGTTTAAATACAGAATTCGGGTGAAAAAGACTAATCAAAGTCTATTGTGCCCCAATCAATGCGCCAAGTTGTTATTTTCATAATCAAAAGAGATTGGTCAAATCCACTTCCAGTATGTGAGAAATCGAGCTTAAGAGGAATTTCTATCTCACAACAAATTTGAGCTTAGGAGAGATTTCTATCTCACAACGAATTTGAGTAAAGGCCAAAAGAAAGGTTTAGAAAGCCTAAAGAAGTCAGGAATTTGGGATATCAAGTGGTTTAGACAGAAGTGGATGAGTTTGTGCTCGTTTTTCATTTTGAGGTTTGTTGACAAAAAATTATTAGATTCTCCAGAGAGGCTTTTTGCTCCTAAGAATGTTCGTTTAGAGCTTAGGAAAATGGGGAGTGTTCTTCTTCTGATATTTGTTGTTCAAGGTTTGATGGCAAATAGGGTTTTGCTAGGCTTTCTAAATTTATTCAAATGGAAACTAGGAGACTAGCGTTTTGGATTCCATTCACCATCAAGGTACCCAAGATTGATAGAAAATCTCCCATTTGTAGAAAAAATGTTCTTGTGCCCAAGGAGGCTTTCAAAATCATCTAAAATAATATATTTCTACACAACATATTGCTGTTTTCGAAATTTTTATATTTTTTATATATATTTTTGTTGGGGACTGGGGAGGGGAGAGAGACTACAATAAAAAGTGCAATAGCAGTTGGGGGGAGAGAGAGTATAAAGAATGGAAAAGTTTATATAAGGTATCAATCTTAAAATGTGAAATCACACATGCATCGCAAAAATCTATCGGAAATGTTGTTTTAATGTTGAGAAAAACCCTCTAATCGATCATCTCGACATCGAGATGTATGAATATGAAAAAAAAAGTTTTTGAGACTTGAAAAGAGTGCATCTTGCAACACATTATCTAGACCGTCTATTTTCAAGGTTTTCATATATTTATAGATCTACTCGATTTTAACCATTTTTGAAATTTAAAAATTTTCTAATTAGGTATGAAAATAAATTTTAAGATAATACAAAATATTTTTTACAACAAAATTATATTTTTTGATAAATTTTTAAGGTGCACCTTAATTGGATTGCTTAAGGTTACAACCTTATAAGAACCGCCCCTGTAAAAGGATGCAATAGCAGCCTATGTGAAGAGAGAGAATATTATAAGAGAGCGAGAGAGAATGCAATAACAGTCTATTTGGAGGGTAAGGTGGGATACAAATTAAAGACATTTCATGAAGCTCTAAGTCTTGGACCCAAATTCTATCAACTCTAACACAAACTTTTCTCTCCAATCAACTTACCAGCACATTTCTCCTCAACATCATGTTCTTGAACTCTTGAAAATCCAAACGCCCATCTAAATTCTCATCAAACTTCTGTATCATCATCTTCCAATCCTCCCCTCCTTCCCCTCCCACAACCCAAGTCTCCAAAGCACTTTCTCCACCTCCTCGCTCGATATGAACCCGTCTCGATCAATGTCAAAGACATTGAAGGCCTCCTTCAAATCGCACTCCTCGTCGTTGTCTGTGACACTCTCTTGCCTGAGTTTCTCTGTGCTCATTATCAATCGACAAAATTCGACAACACCTCGAAGTTCAATCTCTCGGATCCCACAATGGCCTTCAGTTCATCACCTCCGATGCCAATGCCAGCCCTGCTCAAAACCGTGAAAATCTCTTCCACGCTTACTTCCCCAACCATGTCTTGCTCACACATCTCAAAAATCTTTTGGAGCTCAGGTAATTCAAGAACACACATTTTGAAGAACTTTAGCAGCGAACTCTTGATCCTTTATAGCTGAAAGGTGCAACCAAATCTTTCTATGGGTATGAAATCATTTATGCTCATCTATATATATGGTTTCTTGAGAGAGAGTTTCTAGAGAGAGAGTAAAAGTGGATTTTTGGATAAAGATAGGAGGACTTCGAGCAA